TACCACGAAAATAAGCGTTGTGGAGGGCAACCCACGCAGGCCCCCATTCTGTCCCTCTCTTGGATAGGAGCTTTCTCTCCCTCAATAAATATATTCTGCTAAAAGAAAAAAAAAAAGAAAGAAAGAAAAGAAATGTAGCTTTGCCTCAACCACCACACCAACTGCACACTCCACACCCAGGCCTCGAGGACACGGGCAGCGCACGGGCGTGGCTTTCCTTTCCCATGTGGCAGGCCAGCCCTGTCACCTGTCTCCCTGTTTTGTCAGCAGCTTCCTATGACACTGTACAGCACGCACTTAGCAGGGAAGTAAGATCTCGATAAAATACGACATCAAATGTGTAACGAGTGCTTAGCGTAGACATCAACGTTGTCACAGCAGCTGTTTACAAGCCCTAAAGGACGACATCAGAAATAGGAACCTGTGCGAGCTACAATGTGAACGCAAACGAAAGTCTCCCACAGAAATCAGCTTGGTGTCGGGCGCGCCGAGGCAGGCGTCACACACGACAACTGCACGTTCCGCGCAGAGCCTTGCTTCCTCGGAGAGCGCGGACGTCGTGTGCTCCCGGGCTCCTGGCAGGGCACCGCTGGCTTTTGTTCTCCTGTCCTAGCGGGTCTCCATGATGCTGCGCCCGCCCGCTCACCCGTCAGCTCAGTGTGCTCCACAATTTTCTTTTAGTTCCCTGGACAGAAACGTGTAGTCTTTCCTCAGCTGTAAATGATTTTTTATGAGCTGCAGTCATAATTTCTAAGAAAATTTCTCTGCGATATTTTGGAATTTTCTTTGTAAATTATCAGACTATTGCCACATATGTTTACAATCGAGTAAAACCCAACCACTGGCCAACTGTTTGTGCTTCAAGTGATATCATGGTTGCTGAGTAACTCACCAAAAACTTCTACTCCACTTTCAGTGTTGCTACTGAAAGTTTCCATCTTGGGCTTCTGTTTTGTTGAGGGTTCCCTGTTAATATTTCCAAGGTGCAGTGTTGACATCGGCTGTACCAGTCTGTTTTTCTTTGCTTTAAACAAGCCAGTGTTACATCTTTCTGAAATCTGGAGATTGTACTACACAACTTCCTGGTTAAGAATTGCAACATTTCATTTGTTTGTTTGTTTTGTCTTTTTTTTAATATTTATTTATTTTT